ACCCATAATTTGAACTTTCAAAAATTTTCCTCACACATTCCTCAGTACAAATGCACTGAAATTTCATATATTCTGAAATTGAAAAATTTATGGCAGAATTAATTTGATTTGTAAAAGTTATAAAGGTAGATTACTTCCTAATATTGGGCTTCCTGTCCTGTAAGTGCTAGAATCACTTTCAAACATGAAAACAGGAATATTATTCAGGGGGAAAAAAAATCTTAAGTCTTTCACAGGTTAAAGATGCTCCAGAAGTCAAAACTAATTCTGTAAAATGAGAGTGTAAGCAATGATTAACAACCTGATGGAAGGCATTAAGAATCTATAAAAAAGAAGCTCTAAATTTCTTTATAAAACAGGATAAAGCAAAATTTGGAGCTGTTTCCTTTCCATAAAGTGTTTTCCATGACCTTAAAAGTTCCCATTCCTACTACATTTAGAGCATTCAGTAGGCCTTTATGATCTGACTTGTAGCCATCTCTCCTTCTAATCTCATCTCTTCCAAAACTGAAAAAGGCTTTTAATTCCATCAAGGCTATCCCTCCCTAAAATTCTGATAGAATGATCTTGAACATAACAACTCCCTTAAAGAAACTCCAGTTAATTTGCTGGATTTACCAATTCCACTTAATAGATAGACGTGTTTATTCTAGGCTCTTCATTCTTAGAACACTGATCCCCATAAATTGGGCTCAGTGCTTGAGGCTGTGGGTTTTCCAGTCACTCTCAGGAATATCCTTCAGCTTCTAAAAGCAATTACATGCTTACCAAGAGTGTGCTATTTGTTTACAAAATTATGCCACTATACCAGCTAGAATTACTTAAATGTTAACTAATGAAATACAGTTATGAAAAGATGTGGATGAACAACTAAGATCAGAAAAAACAGCACATATAGGATTCTGAACCAATGGCCTATTTACTTTCTCAATCCAAACTGCATTTTATGGAGGATGCATTTGTATTTAGAAGGATGGCTTATGTAAAAAATAGAGGAAATGATTTCCAAACTGTGGATCTACACATATTTAAAGAAAATGTCTTAATCCCATGTAAAAAAAAAAGGCAAATAAATGTTTAATTTAAAATAAATGTTTAAAACATATGAGCTTTTCAAATAGCTAACAAGAAGCTTCTACTCTATCATTTTAAAGGTGCTGTAGGATTTCTTCAATGATAAACTGACTAGTCTTAAAAAATGAAAAAATTACTCATTGTAAGTTATTATAACCCTAAGATAGCTTATTCCCCACTTTTTTAGTTCAAATATACAAGATAAGACTAAAGATTTTTTCTTAGAATAAAAGAGTTGGGTCATTATTTCACAAGTGTCTACATTCTTCTTATATTTTTGAGACTTCTCAGATTTTTCATCCTAATTTCAATCTCAAATACTATAATTTTTCCCTCTTAATTCACTTTTAACTATTTTCACAATTTATCACTAAACATCTTCAGGTAATCCAGCATCTCTCAGAAGTAGGATCTCATTCCTAAGTATTGCTTAATATAAATGGGCAATGTGTTGCTCTTGATCACATTAATTGGTTACTCCCTTTTATACTAAAAAAGGAACTCCTACCTGCCTACCTTCATCTTCATTTATTTTTGTCACTTCCACTTTATATAACTCAGACTGCCCAGCAACACAAAATACCCCACCTGAGTGCCAGCACTTACCATTAAATGACTACTGAAACTCATTACCAAAACTGACCAATTTATTACTTCCTGGAAGGTACTATAGGTATCTCCATCACATAAATTCCTAGTACTTCAAAACACATCAAAAGCCACATGTGACAGACATGTATATATATAACTATGAAGAATTCAATATGGGTTAAGCACTACAGAATTCTTTTAAGAAATGCTTACTCCAGGGTATAAACCATACCTAATAATTTTAGGCTTAAAAACTAACACTACATAGAAGTCTTTTTAGAAGCCCAAGGCACATACAGAAGGATTCTAACTAGGTAAGACCCAAACACTGCCTAGTTTCCTATCTTGACCCTGTTCTGCTTAAAAGCAGTCTGTGGGCTGAAGATAAAAATCAGTACCCAGTAACCACAACTTAACACTGTTCCAGGCAAATAAAATACAGCAGCATAACAAAATGCAATTCAGTCAAGTTAACTGAATCACTATTACAGTAGTTGATTACTTAACTACATTGTCAACTGTTACAAATGGTAGACAATTTTACAGCTTCCTCTCTTAGACCTCCTTTAATAAGGAAAGGAAGCTGTTCTTTGCCTTATATACCAGTTTTCTAACTTTTAAGTGATACATTTGAAAATCTGATGGATGGCATGAAGCCTCTGCCCCAGAGACACACACAACTTCTTGGACCATTTAAATCCCATCCATGGACTTGAGTTAAGAGACTCCTGTTCTAGTAAAGGCAGGTTCATCACTGCTTTTAAAACAGCCACAAAGCTGAGGACACAGAGGGAAGTCAAGGTGCTTTACCAGATCCTCCTCCTCCACAACAACCCCATGGTTCTATTTAATTGAGCTCTGTATTCAAGAGGGACTGAATGGTTTTCACATTGTAAAGCTGTTGTTTTGATTCAAACTCTTGAGCTCATTATACTCAATACAGTGAATTGAGTTTGAATTAGGTTTTCTAGTATGTATTCCTTCATACTTTAATTTCATCATTATTTCCAAGATAAAAACTGCCTAATTATTGGCTGCATATTTCAGATTTAAACAGCAGTAGCATTAGATTATCACTAGCATTAAGTCCTTCCAACCACCACAAGAGCACCTACAGAAAAGGCAGACTACATTAATTCACATAATTACATAAGTCATGTTTCAAATTAACACATAAGAAATAATTTCAAGTTCTACTGCATAAGGAAAAAATGTAAAGATTATTCCAGTGACCATTTCCCACAGTAATGCTCCCTAATTTCCATAAAGTAATACTGGTCTCTTTTTTTGTCTGCTTCTTAAATGGCACAAACTAAACATGTGACAAATGCATATAACCAGAATGTTATGTTAGGGATCCCTCAGAAAAACTGAGAACTCTAGCAATTAGGCTGCTTTTTTTTTTTTGGGGGGGGGGGGAAGGACATTGTCTCAACAATTATAACACACATGACTCAATATAACAATGCAATCTGGTTCATCCCTGCCAACATTAATTCTGCACAAAAATTACCTGCTTTTTTTCCTCTGAAATTAAGAAAAAGTACATGCTTTTTATTAATCAAGTACAATGGTCCAGAAAAAAATATTTAAGAAAAATATCAGATCTGCTATGTTTCTTCCATTTTACTAGAAAAGGGAAAAGGAATTTTATGTTTCCAAGTCAACATCACCTCTGAAAAACATGATAGGGAACTGCCCATATGTAAAGAATAAAGTTATCATGAATAAATGCTGAATTTCCCTACCAAGTTGAAACAGAAAATGCCTAGGAAAATTAGCAGTACTGCTGACTTAATCCTACTATCCTCTTTCCCCAAAATAAGCTAGTTTATTTAACAAATACTTGAGCACCTACTCTACATTATGAGCCATGGAAAGATCACTGAGAGATTAGTCTTGCTAAGACCAAGCCTGGAAGCAAAGCTTAGAATTCTCTAAGCCATTTATATATAAAGGAATTAAACTTTCAAAGTGAAAACTGTGAAAAGTTAGTGCTATCTCAAGGAGGTGAACATGTCATGCCTAGTGATAACCAATGACCCCCTTAATAATCTTAGAGGCTATTTAGAGATTATTTAGAGATTAATTTGATCATCTTCATCAAGTGCTTCTATGTAGATTTTTTTCTTCCTCTCCTTGATAAGGAAACCAAATTCAAAACTGCTACAGTTTTTTTTCCCTAGGAAAATCCTCACAAGAGCTTTGATACTTTGTGTGTGAAAAAAATACAAATAACTACCAGGGGTTGCAAATAAGCTTGTTAACCATATTCCCCCCTTTATTCCTAAAACTGAATTTTGTTCTAAGGGAAATTACAATTTGTAATATACACCTTTGAAAGTAAAATAAAAATGAGTACTTGGCAGGGTAGACACCAGAAGGAAGAAAAACAGAAAGAAAAAAAAATTAAAATTAGCCTCAATGAAAGGTTAATATTCCTTTTTTCACCTTAGAAATTATAGCTGTGATAGTAAAGATTTCAGATAAGCAAACAACAAAAAATATACCCAAGACCTTAACTGCCACATAAGATTTTGTGAATGTGAGCTCACTTCAATTTATTAAAAAGGGAAAGTATTCATGTATGTAAAATGTTATATGCTAACTGGCTGGACTCTCTAACTAGATTACCTCAAATTTTTCTGGATCAGAAAACCATAGCTTATAAAAAGACATTAAAATTAACCAAAATGCAATGTCTAATTCTTTTAGGCTTTTAGAGAAACACAGTGCTATAACACAGTAAGTACTACATATTTAAACTACTTCTTGAACCAGGAAAATCAAGCTGAGTTACTCATAACCTTTAATGTGGATGCTGGTATTCAAAGGTGACTTCCAACAAATAAATGCAAGAAGGGGAAGAAGCAACTGAAGTCAAAGAGTTTTCTGCATGGCTGACTCATTTCATTAACATTATAACAGATAATCCAGAGAAGAGCATTATGTGAGTATCCTATTACATTCCTTCCATAAAACAAAGTGTGTAGAATTCCTATATCCACATACATATACTTAAGATTTCACTTTTGGAATTACAAGATATTTTAACCATAATTGAAATTTAACGCAATCCAGTTCCTTTCCAACTAGCACATAAGATACCTCCATAGCTTACTGTTTTTAGCAAAACTGAACTGATAATCATTACTCCATTTATTTTACACAAATTATCTATAATTGTTTCAACACATTTTAAGTAATGACATCCTGAAGACTTCTAAATTTAGAACAATTTTTCAAAGGAAAAGAAAACCAAAGGAGGGGTAGAGTCATACAAAAACTGATGCTCATTTCCTATGCTATAATAATGAAGCTAGACAGATTCTCACCAGTACATCATTGCAGATATCTCTTAGCTCAGTCTCAATTTTCTCTCTGTACTCTCGAGCCATCTGCTGCTTTTTCTCAGCACCTTCCGTCTTTTGCTCAATACTTGAGACGACCCTCCAAGATGACCTACGGGCTCCTACAMCATTTTTATAAGCAACTGAAAGAAGATTCCTCTCCTCATTAGACAATTCAGCTCCTTGCTCAGTTACAGACTTCATGCAGGCTGCCATGTCATCATATCGCTCAGCCTGCTCGGCCAGTTTGGCCTTCTGCACCAGCTCATTTTTATCCATGACTGGATGTTCTGTAGGGGAAAAAAAAAAAGGAGTATTTAGAGATGTTTTCCCAAATATACAGACTCAAAAGTTGTATGTGCTTAATAAGCCATATTAACACCTCAAACCTAGTTGTCTGTGAGGGATTCTTCACATGGGGAATTAAAATTTAGGTCCCTTAGGAGAATGATCATAACTTGTTTCCAATATCACTAAGTAATCCAAAACTTATGCAGCTTTTCTTCATTTGATAAAAACAATGCCTACAAAGAGCATTAAAATTTCTATGCTTCCAGAACCATGAGTCATGCCAGTTTGACATAATTCATATCTTTTAACTTTCATCATACTTACTTCTGTCAGGAATGATTAAGTTTTAGTTGTTAGTATGCCCATCCCAAACCTACTAGATCTTGCCAGCTGATTATAACATGATAATTTTCTGGGAAAAGCGAACAAATATGGTTCTTCTTAGACATTTTGATTACTAAAACATCAAGGAGCAACATCTAATGCTAAGACCTCATCTATCTCTTGCTATATGCACACTTGCTTAAAAAATATCCATTGAGTCCTATCTGTACACACTAAAATATGTCACACTGGAAACACCCAATGTCACTGTGCTTAATAAGTTTAAATGTAGGCTCAAAGCATTTTAATTCTAGCAGTCACAACTTTATTATGTTATCAATCAAGCTTCCCTTTCCCATGTCTTTTCACCTAATTCACTTTCCTTAAACTTCAACTTATCTCTGCTGGTCTTCTTCAAAAACAATCCTTTTTAAAGGATCTGCAACACAGAGAAAGATACTAAACTATACAGGGATCCCACAGAATGATGCCAGAAATGCACTATTAAAAGGTGGAGAGAAGAGCCACTGCCACCCACACCATGAAAGTGACATACACTTTACCTTCCCACGGAAATCCCACTACACTTTCATTTTTCTGAACAGTTAGCACTATTAAACAATCACCTAGCTTCAGTAAGAGCTGTACTGTTTCAATGAATAAACTAATATTTGTGATCTCATTTTCCTCCTGTTCTCGAAATATTAATTTTTCCCCTAGGAACTCTGAGATGCTCTCTGATTAACGTTGCATCTAATGAAAAATGTCCTAAAACCAATATAAACGTGTCCCTATCCTCTTTGGTACAAGAGGAAGTGGGTTAGGTTTCTCATAGAATAACTTGGGTTCCAATGCCTCGCCTCTACACTGCAGAGAAGACTCGCCGCACCCACTTAACCCTCAACTGACTTAAGACGTACGGTAGGGTGAAAGAAATCGCGCAGACCGTGACTTTAAAGTGCAAATCCCACGGTCCGCGCTGTCGGCAACCACCTCCCCTCCTTGGCTCCGCCCAGGCTTGCGCCTCCGCACAAGTCCCCGACTCTCTTTGTCACGGCGGATCTGTGTCAAGGAGCCCAACCTACTGCTGAGTGTTAATTCCACCCCCCTCCCCAGCCGCAACAGAGCAAGAGGGAGGAGCGGGCTCGCGCACCCGCCCAAGTCAGAAATGGGGGGGGGGGAGCCACTCGCCCCACCCGGGGGCAGAGTCGCCAGCGCCGCCCGCAAAAGCGGAACCGCTACCAGTCGCGTTGCGGACACACCCCGCTCTCCCACCGCTGTCTTCCCAGCCACCGGACACCATCGGTGTCCCAGCAGAGTACAGAAGCACCCAACAGCTGCGGCAGGTGGGGGAAGGGGCGAGAACCACACCCAACCCAAAGGGGACACCACCGGCTGTTAAGCTCAAGCCTATCCGCCCCGCAAAGCAGGATGTGAGTCTCAATACCCGGAGCAGGGACCTTCTAGTTCTCCCCCCCGGATGAGTTTCCGACGCTCACCGCGGTCTTCTCCAACCCCTGTTCTAGCCCCAGGGACTCTGCGCCCCCATTCGCACTTCCCGCGCCCGTTCCCGAGTAGGAAGAGCCAGCCCCTCCCCCACCCGACCGGGAAAATTCAAGTCCTTCCTCCCACTGCAGAACCCAGGAAATCCAGCCCTAGGTCCCAGGAGAGCCCCACCCCAAACCTCACCCGTAGTGGGTTTGCCCTGGACACCAGAGAGCGGTCTCGCCCTGGTATACCTGGCGATATGCTGGCCCGGCCAGAGCTCGGCCCGCTCTCGGCCAGGCCCTCCCCCCGCCCAGGTCCCCGCGGTCCCCAGCCCCTCCCCGCCGCCGCAGCGCGGGGCGCGGAGGCTGCGCCGCGGAGGAGGGAGAGGGGGAGGGGAATGGGAGGCGAGGCTAGCAAGGGGAGCCGAGGGGAGGGGGCGGCCTCACCTGCGCCACTGCAATGTCCGCGGCCGCCGATCATTATCTCCGGCGGAAGCGAGGGGCAGTGGGGCGAGGACGGAGGATGTGAGGGGCCACTAGGGCAAGGGTGGGGACGGATAGCGGCCGGTAGCGTCTCGGCTATGCCTCATCAGCCCTCCAGAGCTGGGGGACCCCCGGGGATCCTGCGCGTGGGCACCTTCTCCACCCGGGGAGGAAGAGAGTCAGGGGAACGAACGCCGATCGGTGCTGAGGCGTCGGTCCGGAAGCAAGTAGCCGGAGGCGGCCGCGAGTGCCCGCCCGAGCCAGCGGAAGAGGAGCCGCCGCCCGTGTCTGCCTAAGGAGACTCCGCCTCAGCCCAGAGCCACTACAGCAGGCGAGCGGCTGAGGGGACGCCGAGCCAGGACAGCTCCCACGCCTTCACAAGGCTGGCTTGGAGCAAGAAAGAACGGGGCGAGGCGGCCGCGGCCGGGTGCCTTACCTGTATCCGGAGTGGGTGGCGGCGGACGGACGGGGGCTCAGCAGTCTCTGGGCGGCGGCGGCAGCGGCAGCGGCGAGGCTGAGACTCTGTCCCTGGATCTCGCTGCTCACAGGCTACAGCAGCTCCGCAGACACGGGGTTTCCTCCAATCACCAGCCCCGACAGCAGGGGCACCACACGCACGATGACGTCAAACGCTGCTATGGCAACCGTTGATTGGTGCCCACAGCTCTCGGGGCCCAGCGCAACCGCCGCTCCCCGGTGCGCGCGCCCTGCCCGCCCGCGCTAGAGGGCGAGTGGAGGAGCGCGCGTTCTCTCCCGCTACCAACACCCCTCCCCACCCTGCACAGCTCCCAACTTTTCTGTTCTGGTCCCCAGTGCGCCTGGAAAAGAAGCCGCTTTGTTTTCCTCCCAGCCACTACCCTTTTTCCTAGTCTTCCCTTTGGCTTTCCCACACTCTTTCTCTCTCCCCGGCGACCTCCCCCGGCTCACTCTAGCACTAAGCCTGCGGGAAGTCAGTCTCTCCCCACCCCCACCTTCTCCGTAGTTCGGGCCTTCTGCGCCGGCGCCAGTCACTCCCTCTAGAAGGGGCTCCGGTTCAGCCACATCCGGGATCTTTTACATCCCCCCCCAGCCCCCCTCCTCCCCGCTGCCTGGCCGCCCCGCCCTCCGAGCTTCGCGGTGTTAACAGCCCCAGGGCCGCCCCAGGGCGGGATGATGCGTGGAGAGGCGACTCTGGCATTATGAGCAGGACTGGCGGTGGGGGGCCGGGCGCGGTCAGACGTGGGGTGGGGGCACGCCTTGGGGCGCTCCCCGGCCCCCACCGGCCGCTCCCCGTCGCCAGGCGGGACGGCCAGAGCACGCGGCCCCTCCCTTCCTCCTTTCCTCCCTTCCGCCGCTGCGGCTTTACCTGCTGGCTCGAAGGAAACGGCCTTAGACCTTTTAAGGCTCGGAAAAGAAAGCGAGGCGTCCGGCCCCCGAGTGTGGCTGAGTGACGCGGAGGCTTTCCAATCCGGAGCTCGGGATCTGCGCTGTGACAGCCGCGAGGGGACAATGGGTGGGCGCCGAGGTGGGGGCGAGGTGGGCCGAGCCCGGCGGAGCCGGCGGGAGGTGAGGCCGCTTTCAGAGAGCAGGCAGTTCCGAGGGGTAAAGAGGCGTTAAACGGAGGGTCGGACGCGCTCCTGGAAGCCTTAACAGGAAGCGAGGCGATGAAACAGGCTTGAAGGCACAGATTCGTTTTTCGTGGGCTAATTTTTTCACCCAAATAAAGCTTTCACTTGAAGACCCCATACTGTATTGACTTAAAACATGAAAACCATTATCTTTTTGTCTTCTGGAAGCAAGGTTTGAGGGCGTCGTAATTCCCAGGGCCATGGCCGACATTGGGAGTGGGCCCGCAGGCTGGTTGAGGAGCGGGGACTGGAGTCTGGAAGAGGGGGAAGGAGAAGGGCGGAAATTGCCCGTGCGGGAGATGGTAGGGTTTCCACCCATTCCACTGAAGGAAGTTGGAGGAGATACATTCTCAATGTTAAGTATCTGCCCCTTCGCCCTTTAAATGTGCTTGAGTTAAGAAAGACTAGTGGTTCGTGCCCTGCAAAACCACTTGAAAAGGTCATCGACTTTGTAGTTGGCAGTAAGAAAACTCGGAACTCTTCAATTACCCTTGTTGGGTGAACAACTTGATTTTTTCCTAACATTACTGAGCACCTGCTAGGGGACTGCACTAAATACAGCAGACAAAAGTGCCTCAGGAATTCAGCCCCAAGATTTCTAGAGGATTCAATTTCTCACTAGCAGACACAAAATGATTCCTTACTCTCTCCGAACTTTGTGATGGATACAATGTCTGGATGACAAGGCTCTTCCCCAGATTACTCTTTGCCTGAAATGACGGCTGAGCTAAATAGTATGGACCTAGCATTTCCAGTGAACGGTTCAATTTCAGTGTTAATTTCCCCCCAAGTTTCTGTGTCAGCATAGATTCGTAGTAGAGTGGATGAACAAATTGATAAAAGTTTTTCTTCTGAGATGTTAAAGTCGACTTGCTTTGACTCCCAAGTAATTTCAAAACTGTTTTTTAAAAAATTGTTTCCAGTCTTGGAGTAGATGCTAGAAATCTGACAGAAGCTACGATATTAAATCTTTTTTGACGAAGGAAAGTGGTGGTGTTTTTTTAAAAAAAAAAATGTCTGAAATATAGGGATGTCTATATAGAATATATGCCTTTTGTTTTAGAAAATTAAGGGATTCCTCTGCATAAATAAATTGCAGTTTTAATTTGGGAAAGAGCTAAGTCTTTTGCCTCATGCTTTAAGTAGCAAGGTATTTTTTAATGAAACAATAGGCGCTAGTAGGTTTTACAAACTCAACACATTCACATAACATAGATGAAGCTATGAAGCTACAAGGAAACAGGAATAAGATGTCAAGACTACCTCAAGAGAAGTAATTTGAGCAATTAAGGAATAACTATGGCAAAAACAACAATAAGTAGAACCTATGGACTTGATTTCTGGGAAATTACTAGAGACTTTCACTTATTAGTCTGACCTGTTTAATTTTCTACACTGCTCAACTCTTACCTTAGTCAAGTTGATAAACCTCTCTTGCCTTGATATTCACAGCAATAAAATATTAGTAATAAAAACACTTAACTCATTAGCTGGTATTGAGGGTTACGTGAATACATACATACTCACATATATTTCTTAACACCATTCATGGTCAGTCATTTATCATTTGTAAATGGATATATCTGATGGATGTCTACTGTTCAAAGGGTAGTAAAAATAAAATGGAACTATAAAATTTCTTTTTAAAATGTGCAGTCTAAAGTTCACTCTGAAAATGAACATTTGTGTTAGTCTGTTAGCACTAATGAGAAATAAGTGACGGCACTAAATATTGCTCCATTCCTCACAGGAGACTGTAGTGATCTCTTCAGAGCTGTGTCATACATTATATCAGGAAAGAATTCAAGTAAATTGACTTGAATCCATCACTCCAACTGGAAAAAAACTCTTAAAGGATGGACTCTATTGAAGATGTGGCAGTTACATGATCTCTTAAGTGTAATCACAATTCAATCAGGTTATAATCTCACTTCAACATCATTTTAGTTGTAGAAAACAGTGTTGTGCATAGGGCTTTGCAGTCAGAAGTGGGCCCACTCTTGGTTTGCCATTCAGAAATATGTAAACTTAGGCCACAAAATTGGGCATATAAATTCCCAATTCCATCATATTATTGCAATGATTAAATGAGAAATTAAGGAAAGGGCTATACATAGTGCTATAGATCCTCATTATCTATTGCTAAAATAACCTGGAGTTTGTGGCAGAGGCTCACTCTTCTCCAAACCATTTTTCTAACACTGCCAAAGCTGGATTCCACTGCCCAATTTCCCTTACAGTGAGGTATGGTCCTGTAAGTAAGTGCTAACTATTGAGATATGACCAAAGTGATGTGCTCTGCCTGTGGGACTGGTCCATAAAATTTTCCCTGTTTAAACTCTCTTAAGTTCCTAATGTGCCTGCTGAATGGAGAGCAGTTGAAGTCTTAGAAGAGGATGGGATTATAAAATGTGTCCCTGAAAGCCTAGAAGACTGCTTTCATCAACTTGTAGTTTATTGAAGGGGTAAATTCTATTTTTAAGCCACTGCAATTTAAGTTTTATTTGTTACAACTGCTAGCATTGTAAAGTTTAGATGTCCTTGGCAAGTCCAAAACATGCTAAAAACTTTAAAAAAAGAAGCAAGCAAGAAAGAAAATGGGTAAGAAAGAAAAGGAGAAGGAAAAGAAATGAAGGAGGAAAATTGATCTTTTGATAAAAGTGAAAATAAATATAGGATGGCATGCGTGCGGCCCGGGTTCGATCCTCAGCACCACATACCAACAAAGATGTTGTGTCCGCCGAGAACTAAAAAATAAATATTAAAAAAAAAAAGAAAAGAAATATAGGTATTCTGACTAAATGTTGATGTCTAGAATGACCTTAGAAAAGGAATATTTCCTCACTTAATTGTGAATTGCTCTGATAAACTCACTACTTACCACCTCACAATAGCTCCATGGACTGGAGACCAAGCCTTGAACACATGGGTCTTCTGGAAGACATTTTAAATCCAAAATGGAAAAAACAGGTAAATCATGGTTCCTCTTTGAAGAAACTCAATTATAGTCCAGCACTGTGAAGTAAGAACTAGTAAATATGAATTTGAGAAATCTGAGCTGTGAGCTCTGTTTATGGAAAGGTGAGGAAGTCTCTCTGAAAAAAAAATTCATTCTAAAAGTTACTGATTTGATTATGATCATAATGCTTTCTTGCATCCAATGGCATTTTAAATTCTGCAGTTCAATTTTTAGTCTCCTTCCATTCTTACCTTATGGGTCACTGTTTGATTGATGGCATATGTCTTCACATTCTATTAAGGACACAAATTGGCTTTTCTAAAATTTTTCCTCTTTTCCCATAGTAAATAATAATTTTGTCACATATGTTTTTCCTTGGAGTCTTCAAACATATATGTATTCTGTTTCCTTGTATTCTAGAATTCTGCATAGCTCATGTTGTGGTAGTGATTATTTTCCTATTTTATGTCAATGAGGGAAGTTCCTGCCAAATGATGACATTTCCTCCACTTCTTTTACTATCCTCTTGAAAACTGGTATATCTAACATTGTAGGACAGGTCAACTATGTGCTCCCTTGCCCAAATTCTGAAATCAAACAGATGTTCACATTTATCATTTACTGAGTGGCCTCCGTGAAACAGAATCTTTCCCTGATCCAATTGTCCAGTTGTCTGCCACGAGAGGAATTTATGTTGTCAAGAATAAGAGGCTATCTGTGGTTCTTCTTTAATCAGCTCTGATAAATGGAAAAACCACAAAGTTAAACACTGTGGGCTGTCAGCGTGTTTCCGAATATGACCTTATCTGTGGTTCTCTATTCCAGGGATCTATCCATCACTTTTTGTAACCAACTGTCTCCCAGTCTTTGCTATTTTTCTTGTGATTTCTCCTTTGTACGTTCTGATTGAATAAATAGTTTGAAAGCTTACAACTTTGTTTTTTTGTTTGTTTTTTTGTTTTGTTTTGTTTTTTGAGAGGAGGTCATGTTATGTTGCCTGTACAGGTCTCAAACTCCTTGGCTCAAGTGATTGATTCTCTCACGGTAGTCTCCTAAGTATGTGGGACTTAAAAGTTTAAATTTTTCCCTATCAAATTTTCTCTTCTTTTTTAAGACGACAAAATATATAAAATAGAATTTCTTGATTTGGCCTCTCATACAATGAGAGTCTTCCTAGACTCTTGCAAATGGTTTGTACTTATTTTTCAAAAACACACAATCTTTCAATAAGAAGAAAGGAAAGGTTATAATAAGAATCTTGGCATCATTTTAACATTTTAACCTTAAATCTTCAGTCAATGATAATTTTACTATTTTTTTTTCATTTTATAACCAAAGGTGAAGATTTTAATTTGGTATGAAGCATTAGGAATAGATTTTGGAAGTGACTGTTGTACCAGAAATGAAGGTGTTGGTTTGTAATACAAGTTTGTCTGAATTTGGGAATCATTTCTATGGAGAAGTAGGAAAAAAT